TTCCCTGTGTTCCTTATTGTGGTACGCATCGAATTAAGAATGCTTCCGTAGGTTGTGCCTTGTGCGCTGCGTTCTATCGCTTGAATAAAGCAGAAAGTCATAGCACCTGTAGAGGTGATCTTTGACAGCGCCTGTATATATGTGTTAATCGTGAGTCGAGGAACCAACCATAATTGCAAGACAGAAATAATTTGGATGGTTCTACTTACTGATGTGTCTGCGGAAGTCTGATCATCATCACATCCACTGATTGATATGGCTTCTCCGCCAGCTGTTCCCTTCCACAAACCTGACCTTGGCCGATGATCCTCCCACACATACTGCCCAGCTCTGTTTCAATAACATATATATGGATGCATGAGATGGAAAAGGGCAGCAACCCTAAATAAAACCAACCAGTACAAATGGTAAACAAGTTCAGTTTTAGCAACGGTTGAGGCACTAGTAACCTGTTCATTCTGCATAGGAATGGTAAATCCAGCACGGTGCCACTATGGCAAGCATCAATAATTGAATGGAGCTTGACACCATGTGGAAGAGGACGAACAATAGTAGCGTTTATCTCGTCATCTACAATCATCCCCTGAGTTTCAAAATCAAGAGGACAGAGTGTTTCATCATAGCCATCAACTTCATCACCGTTGTAGTTTCTTTGACGCGAACCATGACCAGAGTAGTGAAAGACAAGTGAATCGCCTGCAGTACATCCCTGTACAAGCCAAAACAATGCCATCCTCATGTTTTGCTTGTTTGGGATACGATATGGATCAGTTTCTTCCTCTGCATCAACAATCAGGTACGAAAAAAGAAAATCATCGATGATGAACAATTATTCAGTCAGCTATTGGAATTAAACTTGCAATCATCAATCAGATAGGCTAAGTGAGGTGCAAGATGCTCGTACAATCATCAATCACAGGGGTTCAGGCATTATAACAGATCAGAAACCCAGAGTGGAAGAGATTCGAAAGAGCTAAGCAAACAAGTGCAAGATAGAAATAAAAGAA